GACTTAGACCTGAGTGCAAAAATGGAGGCTCTAGACCCTTCCAGAGCTGAGATATCGAAACTCAAAATTTCGACCAGAAAAAAAAAACGACAGTGTTACCCCTTACGTTTTTTTTTTTTCGGGTGAAAAATTAAGTTTCCCCAATCTTCTCAAAACTCTGGATTCTGATAGAGGGCCATGAGACTTAGACCTGAGTGCAAAAATGGAGGCTCTAGACCCTTCCAGAGCTGAGATATCGAAACTCAAAATTTCGCCCGAAAAAAAAAACGACAGTGTTACCCCTTACGTTTTTTTTTTTCGGGCGAAAAATTAAGTTTCTCCAATCTTCTCAAAACTCTGGATTCTGATAGAGGGCCACGAGACTTAGACCTGAGTGCAAAAATGGAGGCTCTAGACCCTTCCAGAGCTGAGATATCGAAACTCAAAATTTCGACCAGAAAAAAAAACGACAGTGTTACCCCTTACGTTTTTTTTTTTTCGGGTGAAAAATTAAGTATCCCCAATCTTCTCAAAACTCTGGATTCTGATAGAGGGCCATGAGACTTAGACCTGAGTGCAAAAATGGAAGCTCTAGACCCTTCCAGAGCTGAGATATCGAAACTCAAAATTTCGACCAGAAAAAAAAAACGACAGTGTTACCCCTTACGTTTTTTTTTTTCGGGTGAAAAATTAAGTTTCCCCAATCTTCTCAAAACTCTGGATTCTGATAGAGGGCCATGAGACTTAGACCTGAGTGCAAAAATGGAGGCTCTAGACCCTTCCAGAGCTGAGATATCGAAACTCAAAATTTCGACCAGAAAAAAAAAACGACAGTGTTACCCCTTACGTTTTTTTTTTTTTCGGGTGAAAAATTAAGTTTCCCCAATCTTCTCAAAACTCTGGATTCTCATAGAGGGCCATGAGACTTAGACCTGAGTGCAACAATGGAGGCTCTAGACCCTTCCAGAGATTTCGACCAGAAAAAAAAAACGACAGTGTTACCCCTTACGTTTTTTTTTTTTTCGGGTGAAAAATTAAGTATCCCCAATCTTCTCAAAACTCTGGATTCTGATAGAGGGCCACGAGACTTAGACCTGAGTGCAAAAATGGAAGCTCTAGACCCTTCCAGAGCTGAGATATCGAAACTCAAAATTTCGACCAGAAAAAAAAAACGACAGTGTTACCCCTTACGTTTTTTTTTTTCGGGTGAAAAATTAAGTTTCCCCAATCTTCTCAAAACTCTGGATTCTGATAGAGGGCCATGAGACTTAGACCTGAGTGCAAAAATGGAGGCTCTAGACCCTTCCAGAGCTGAGATATCGAAACTCAAAATTTCGACCAGAAAAAAAAAACGACAGTGTTACCCCTTACTTTTTTTTTTTCGGGTGAAAAATTAAGTTTCCCCAATCTTCTCAAAACTCTGGATTCTGATAGAGGGCCATGAGACTTAGACCTGAGTGCAAAAATGGAGGCTCTAGACCCTTCCAGAGCTGAGATATCGAAACTCAAAATTTCGACCAGAAAAAAAAACGACAGTGTTACCCCTTACGTTTTTTTTTTTTCGGGTGAAAAATTAAGTTTCCCAATCTTCTCAAAACTCTGGATTCTGATAGAGGGCCATGAGACTTAGACCTGAGTGCAAAAATGGAGGCTCTAGACCCTTCCAGAGCTGAGATATCGAAACTCAAAATTTCGACCAGAAAAAAAAAACGACAGTGTTACCCCTTACGTTTTTTTTTCAGGTGAAAAATTAAGTTTCCCCAATCTTCTCAAAACTCTGGATTCTGATAGAGGGCCATGAGACTTAGACCTGAGTGCAAAAATGGAGGCTCTAGACCCTTCCAGAGCTGAGATATCGAAACTCAAAATTTCGACCAGAAAAAAAAAACGACAGTGTTACCCCTTACGTTTTTTTTTTTTCGGGTGAAAAATTAAGTTCCCCAATCTTCTCAAAACTCTGGATTCTGATAGAGGGCCATGAGACTTAGACCTGAGTGCAAAAATGGAGGCTCTAGACCCTTCCAGAGCTGAGATATCGAAACTCAAAATTTCGACCAGAAAAAAAAAACGACAGTGTTACCCCTTACGTTTTTTTTTTTTCGGGTGAAAAATTAAGTATCCCCAATCTTCTCAAAACTCTGGATTCTGATAGAGGGCCATGAGACTTAGACCTGAGTGCAAAAATGGAGGCTCTAGACCCTTCCAGAGCTGAGATATCGAAACTCAAAATTTCGACCAGAAAAAAAAAACGACAGTGTTACCCCTTACGTTTTTTTTTTTCGGGTGAAAAATTAAGTATCCCCAATCTTCTCAAAACTCTGGATTCTGATAGAGGGCCATGAGACTTAGACCTGAGTGCAAAAATGGAGGCTCTAGACCCTTCCAGAGCTGAGATATCGAAACTCAAAATTTCGACCAGAAAAAAAAACGACAGTGTTACCCCTTACGTTTTTTTTTTCGGGTGAAAAATTAAGTATCTCCAATCTTCTCAAAACTCTGGATTCTGATAGAGGGCCATGAGACTTAGACCTGAGTGCAAAAATGGAGTCTCTAGACCCTTCCAGAGCTGAGATATCGAAACTCAAAATTTCGACCAGAAAAAAAAAACGACAGTGTTACCCCTTACGTTTTTTTTTTCGGGTGAAAAATTAAGTATCCCCAATCTTCTCAAAACTCTGGATTCTGATAGAGGGCCATGAGACTTAGACCTGAGTGCAAAAATGGAGGCTCTAGACCCTTCCAGAGCTGAGATATCGAAACTCAAAATTTCGACCAGAAAAAAAAACGACAGTGTTACCCCTTACGTTTTTTTTTTTCGGGTGAAAAATTAAGTATCCCCAATCTTCTCAAAACTCTGGATTCTGATAGAGGGCCATGAGACTTAGACCTGAGTGCAAAAATGGAGGCTCTAGACCCTTCCAGAGCTGAGATATCAAAACTCAAAATTTCGACCAGAAAAAAAAAACGACAGTGTTACCCCTTACGTTTTTTTTTTTTTCGGGTGAAAAATTAAGTTTCCCCAATCTTCTCAAAACTCTGGATTCTGATAGAGGGCCACGAGACTTAGACCTGAGTGCAAAAATGGAGGCTCTAGACCCTTCCAGAGCTGAGATATCGAAACTCAAAATTTCGACCAGAAAAAAAAAACGACAGTGTTACCCCTTACGTTTTTTTTTTTTTCGGGTGAAAAATTAAGTATCCCCAATCTTCTCAAAACTCTGGATTCTGATAGAGGGCCACGAGACTTAGACCTGAGTGCAAAAATGGAGGCTCTAGACCCTTCCAGAGCTGAGATATCGAAACTCAAAATTTCGACCAGAAAAAAAAAACGACAGTGTTACCCCTTACGTTTTTTTTTTTTCGGGTGAAAAATTAAGTATCTCCAATCTTCTCAAAACTCTGGATTCTGATAGAGGGCCACGAGACTTAGATCTGAGTGCAAAAATGGAGGCTCTAGACCCTTCCAGAGCTGAGATATCGAAACTCAAAATTTCGACCAGAAAAAAAAAACGACAGTGTTACCCCTTACGTTTTTTTTTTTCGGGTGAAAAATTAAGTATCCCCAATCTTCTCAAAACTCTGGATTCTGATAGAGGGCCATAAGACTTAGACTTGAGTGCAAAAATGGAGGCTCTAGACCCTTCCAGAGCTGAGATATTGAGATCCTACGCACCAATAATGCCATTATGAATATCTCAATATCTCAACTCAGGAAGGGTCTAGAGCCTCATTTTTGCACTCAGGTGTAAGTCTCATGGCCCTCTATCAGAATTTAGAGTTTCAAGAAGATCAGAGAAACTCAAAATTTCTGGATTCCTCTTGAAACTCTGATAGAGGTACTTGGGACTTAGCCCTGAGTGCATATATATATATATATATATATATATATATATATAATGTATATATTCATGACATGCTATTATGTTGTATATTCATGTCATTGTTATCCTATTATTGCCATCAAGGACATGAATTTATTGAGGAAAGGAACATTTGCCAGGTACGTGCTGTTTATTCAAAGAAAGACCTTTATTAACACAAACACAGCTATGTACAAAGCATAGCAGAACATCTTCAAAGCACAGAAAACATGTCCTCCACCCTCTGAAGACATGGGACAACATACATACAGCACTACAGTTAAACAAATAAATCACAATTAAATATTGCATGTTTATTCGAAAATAAACTGTCCTGAATGGCATCAGAATTGGGCACCAGATATATCAAACACAATGTACAGTGGAGGCAGAATTATGAAAGGATGTAATTTAAAGGGATAGTTCACTTTGAAATTAATTTTTGATATGTTTTAGCTTACCTAAAGGGCATCCAAGATAACATGTAGGTGTCTATGTTTCCACAGTATTTTCAATTTTATATATTAAAACTTTTTTTTTAGGTCAAACCGTTTTTGTCTGTCAGTCATATATTGGAAGTCTATGGGGATCTCCTGAAAGAGCATGCACAGAGAAGTCCAAATTAAACATGATTTAATGACTCGTAAATGTAAGTACACATTGATGGCCTGAGATACGAAACGAGCGGTTTGTGTGAGAAAACGAACAGTATTTATATTGTTATTATAGATTACATATTTAGATATATCGAAATCATCTTCCATTGCGATTTCCTGTATATCTAAATATGTTTAGATCTTCAATGTGAAAGGTAAAACTTCCGAAATCTCTGTGTAAACAATGAGTTACATACACGCGTGAGAGATCACTTCTGGCGCATGCACAGACCAAACCGAGCGCACCCTCAGATCACTTGGACGTGGCTGTGTTTACAAGAGGTAAAAACTGTATAAATACTGTTCGTTTTCTCACACAAACCGCTTGTTTCGTATCTTAAGCCATCAATGTGTACTTACAGTTACGAGTCATTAAATCATGTTTATTTGGACCTCTCTGTGCATGCTCTTTGAGGTGGTGACCATAGACCTGCATTATATGCCTGACAGACACGAACGGTTTGACCTAAAAATATCAAAATTAAAACTACTGCGGAAACAAAGACACCTACATCTTGGATGCCCTTGAGGTAAGCTAAAACATATCAAAAATTAATTTCAAAGTGAACTATCCCTTTAATTGAACTCTTAATTCAAGTCCCGTAGGCTTGGCTCATCAGGGCATAGTGAATCCTCCACAGCCAAGTCTTTACGACGCGTGCTTGAGGTGCTCAGACATGTTCACCTTGATGTACTCCTCAGTGGCTGCGGAACCGAATTTCATGATCCCTTCTGCAAAGTTGAAAAAGACAAATGATTTAGATGTATGCAAAGGCAATCTGCAATCATGCACCAAAGTCCCCACATTTGTAAGCAAAAATATGTTTCCTCTGCATCCACTACCAATACTGGATTAATGCAAAGCCATCTCCACAAATGTTACCTGTAACACTTAGGCCGTCTACAAAAGGGGACTAAGCAGACTGTTCTTTTTTTTGAAAGCTTGTCAAGCATTTATTTATTAAGCATTGGATTTATTAGTTTCATATGGTTATACCTGAAATTAAAATAATTTTATAAATTTAATTTGTAATACAATGTTTCCTGTTGTATTTGTCTATGTGCACTGGAAGCCTCAGCACACAAACAAATTCCTTGTGTGTGCGCAAGCACACTTGGCAATAAAGCTCTTTCTGGTTCTAAGTAATACAGCAGTGATATGAAGACATGTGTGCCTCGCACCATCACTGTACTTGCCGTGACCCATCATGTCTGGACCTGAAGGTGTGCCTCAAACCATCACTGTGCAGGACCTGATGGTGGATCAAACGCTGGACCTAGTAACATTTTAAATTTAATAACTTGGCCATACATTTATAACTGAATATAACATGCCATGTTCCAGTTCTCTTTGGTGTTTTTGCAACTTTTTGGTGTTGTCTTAATCTCAAAGACATCTGTAAACACAGACGTTAATCCAAATTAGTTTAGTTTTACTGTTTATTTGACTGGGTCCTGTTTAAAAAAAAGAGGATGAGATCACAACACATAACTTTACCCTGTTTAGGTGGTTTATCTCTTAACAGGGAAGGACACCTCACTCCTTACAACACCTGAGAGACAAAACAAATGGGTTAACAAACAGCTTAAAGATTTCACTCCATCACACAACAGTTAAGTGTTGCAGTTTTACAAACTAGGATAGTCTACACTAGAGCATAAAAAAAAGCATATTACGAACTTGAGTTTGTATGACCCTGGCACATATTTTTTTTTTTTCATAATTTGTGACGATATTCAGAGTAAACGCATTGGGGAAAGCCCACTGAACACCCGACGAGTTAGCTTGATTACTAGCAAAGAAAGAAGGGTAGCTAGCTAGCAGCCAGATAACAACGTGCAACCTACGTAGTGTTCCTGTACCAGTGAGGTGGAATCAGAGACAACACCTCTAAGTCTAACGGTTTACAATAAGACATGTTCCTTTCATGAACGGTAGAAGTGACTGAGGGTAACATCAACCAACCTTGCATAATCTGTGAGCCTAGTTAGCAACGAGCTAGTCAATCAGAACTTCATGGCATGCTGCTAGCGGTAAACGTGCAGTTTAGTGAGCCAAATTGTTCACATTTACATACAACTGAAAACTAATTAAGAGCATAAAATTAACGCAAAACAATAAAAAAACTGTGCCGTTAAGTCAAACGTCCTAACCATTGGCGGCAGTAACCACAGCAGGTTTGTGAAATTTAAGACAATAACGCTAAACTACCTAACACTATTACACATGGACATAAGATTCACTATAGGCTGACCGAACTTACCTTCAATTTAGAGAAAACGATGGGTTCACCAGCGATGCATGGGCGGGATTTGTTAACTTTGTGCATGTCCACCTGATGTCCACTTCCGACGCAGTTCAACGCCCAGTTCCCACATGACGTCACAACATACGGGCATTTGCAGACCCGGCGCCATTGCTGAGGGCAAAACATTAGAGGAAGCAATGCTAGTTGAACGAAGTGAAATTAGTTTCGTGCTTTAAAGTGGAAATGGTCATCTCCTGCTGCGTCAATGGATGATAAAATCGTGCCGGAGGTTGAGTTAAATCGGGATTTTACATTATACCCGTCATTAGACTCCATGGATGTGAGAAGAGCTTTTGTCCGAACAATGACGGAGATTATGGCTGGCAAGCATAAACAGGAAAGAAACTCACTCAAAACACGCAAGAATTTGTTTGACAAAAGCACAATGTTGTGTTTTATTACGAGTGTAAACAAATATAAGCTAACACATTGCAGTTTGAATAATGTCCTGTATGAACAAAATTACGAGGTATTAAAAACATACAAAACGACATTGTTTCCACTGTTTGATCTCACATTCCAGCATTGCAATCTCAGATTATGTCCCTAAAGATCCCGCGTATAATGTAGTTCCGCATTACATTAATTAAATTGCACGCGAGTTATTTATTTTTATATTCAGGCGAAATTTTGAGTTGCTCTGATCTAGGCAAATGAATCCTTTTCACTTTGAAAAATAAATCTTTTTTGCATTTTAAATAATAGAACACAACAGTGTTCGTCAATAAAACAAAATTCCATTTTTCTCGGTTTAATGAAAACCAATAGGTCCTTATGGCAGAGGCGATTTCGTGTAGAATAGGTCAACATCTGGTTATCTCTCCACTGGATCGTGTTAACACAAACGTGTAAGTTTCACGTTTGAGGGGATTAAACCGTGACATCTACACGTTTTCCAAAGAGGACCAACGTGATTATTTCACGTCTTGTCGTGATACCGGGTTGAATCAACAATTGCATTTGTGGCATGATGTTGATTTCTATGAAAATGAATCCCCTCCTTTAAAAAAAACAATAATGTAATATAGGTCACAGAGATGCACTTAGTGTGAAAGTAAATGTGGCGCAATATGTAAACATTAAAATGCTCAGTTTCAATAGTTTAGCCATTCAACATAAATTTAGTTAAAAAAAACCCTGTTACTAACCTTCTGTGTATATCCAATTTAAGAACTTAGTTGACATGACAACGTAACATAGCTCAAACCCTAAAATTTTAAAAGTGATTTACAGTTAAAAAAAAACAAAAAAAAAAACAACAGATTTATGCACATCAATAAAATGACAAACGTCATATTTCTGCTTTTAAATCCTTTCATGAATTGTACTTCCAAGGTAAGTTATTCATCGTAACCTGGATTTTTGCAAGTCAAATTTTACAAGCCACTTTTTACATGGTAATCAACATTATGCTACAAATGCTGTCGACTGAGCTTGACTTGTATTGAACCCAAAATATCTCTCAGAGGATAAAATAGAGGTGAAACTGAGCTGAACTCTACAACAACTCATCTTGTTATTGTGCACATCTGTGGCCCTGTACTAAGCACTAAACATGACTATTGAAAGCAGCCGGCTGGTGTTACTTGTACACAGCCCGTCAGTGTGAGCATCAGCGAGGCTGATGAGTGAAGCATGGTGCCCTGTTCAATCGCATCTCCCAAGCCCTAAAGGACCCCTCTTGCTTTATCATCTAGCTTCTTTTGATCTAGGCGCTCTTCAGATAGTATGAATCACTGAAAGAGCAGGCGGACAAGAACGCTAAAAGAAACAGCTGCCATAATGCTGACACGATACACTTTCATACTTACCATTTCTCACTGTCATCCTTACACATATACACTGAAGTTCAGGCCCACCCATAAACAGTGCTTTACTAAGATAACAAAAAAAAAAAAAAAAAAAACTTCACAAATTTCACTCCCATAGATATTGTCAGGATATCTAAAACTTGACGTTATATATACCAAAAAAAAAAAAAAAAAAAGATAAACAATTGTCATCATTTATTCAAGCTCATATCATTCCAAGCCTGTATGACGGAAGCCTTCTGTGGAACACACACACACACACACACAAAGATATTTGGAAGAAACAACATCACTGAAAAAAAACAAAAACAAAAAAAACCCCAACATTTTTCATAAAATATTTTATTTTTTTGCTCCACAGACGAAAGTCATATGCAATGACATGAGGTTGAATAAATAATGACAGAATTTACATTTTTGGGTGATCTATCTCTTCAAGCAACAAGACGCCATTTATACAGTGAAGTAAATGGTGCACACAGCTGTTCCCATGCCAAGGACAGCGCTCCAACAAGACTACCTACAGCAACAGAATACCGTTACAGAGCCACTGTAAGACCCCTTTAGACATGTGCAATGTGATCTACTGTGGCAGCCATTATGTCAAAGTATTGCATAAATGGAAAGAGCATTACACATCCCTCAGGTGTTTACATGCAAGTCTTGAGTAAATGTATTTTACTCAAGATTTATTACATCCTCACTGTTAGTACTGTAAATACTGGTTAATTTTTCCTAACCGTATTTTCTTAACATGAATAATTTATTTTAAATATGTTCAGTTGGCCTACATAAAAGTACATACAAGAACTCTTGTGATGTTTAATGTAATGCTAAGGTAACATTTTACAGTAGGTTTAATTTAATGCAAGAAGTTACAGGTTAATAATAGTAATGATTATTTTGTTTATTATTAGGTTCCTGTGATGAATGATATATGATTTCCAGCATTCAGGTTAATGTTAATTTCTACATAAATGTTTTGAACTGAATAGCATATTTATAAATATAAGCAACTTTATAGATATACAGACTGATATCATGAAATATAATTAACCTAGATTTAAAAATTGCATTGTTAGTTAGTAATGGCATTGACTAATGTTACCTAATTAAACCTTCTTGTTCTTTGTCGAAACAATGTCAGAACCAAAATTGAAAAGATTTTGTCCATTTTTTAAATTACTGACATAAGAATAGGGAAAGACATCATCATCAGAGTGTAGCCTGGTGGACAGGTTTAGATGTTCCTGTTGCCTTTAAGCACCTCTTTACCAGTGTCTTGCCCAGTGTGATTTACATTGATTGGATTGCAGGCCTGGGCCAGACATAGAGCTCTTCCTCTGGGTATAGAGCGCATGCTTTCAGTGCCGCTTTTTACACAGTGCAGGCCTGAGCAGTTGTACATTTGTAAATGCAATGAAATGATTCAGCCCCTCCCCCCCAAAAAAAAGTAATGCACTGTAGTGGAACTTTTCTGGTGCAATGAGGCTGTTTAGCTGCCCGCTGTTTAAAAGACCTGCCATTAAAAAAGCACTCAGAGTTTATAAGGGGAATCAATCTTTTCGCAGCTTTTGGATTTTTCATGTGAAGAGTTTACTCAAGGTAGCTCTATTGATTTGTTTTATGACGGCGTCTGCTATATTAGCATATTCTGTCTGTCATCTCAGCTTCTCCTGTATCTGAACAAAATGGAGATCCCACATTTTATAGAGCGGCTCTTTCAAAGCAGAGTCAATCCCTAAAAATATATATCTGCCCAAAAGCAAATCAGTACCAGGTACAGATCATGACTCCTTATATGGGATTGTCGAGGATAACAGTTAGGTTTTAAGCTTAACTTTAGGTTTTATGAATTTTTTTGAAGCGTAACCTTTTATGGTAGAGCCGCTTGAGATGTTTTGCAGAGCTGACTGGGGATGCTTCAGCCCGCAGCCTCCTTCTTTGAGATTTAAGTGACCTCTTGTGCCTCTTTAACAACTAATCTGTCCTAAAAACAGGTTAAGCTGTTATCTGATCACTAATCGTGTACTCATCCGCCCAAAACAAACACTTCCCGTGATTCTCTTGCATGTAAGGCATGTTAAAACCCTCGAAAGAGCCGATAAGACGGTCTCATCCATGCTTACTGTCAGTGCTCAGCTGTTGCACACGCAACCCGGCCCTAAGTCAATCGGAGGAAAAAGCTGTTCCTGTAGTGAGCAATAAAGATGGCATTGAGATACTTGAATGACACAAATGGGATAAGCCTGTGTAGATGCGATTGAAAGCGAATGACTTCTCTGAGCACAAAAGCGCATTAACACCAAGTTTTCAAGTTAGATCTAAATGGCATTTAGGGACAAATACACAGTAGTAAGTGAATAAAAACAGCTTGGTTGCCGTTATAAAAAAAGAAAAATAAATTAAAAAAAGATTAGTAAAATGAAATAAAGTAGGCCTACTAAACTATTTCTCACTATGTACAACGATGAAGCTCTAGCTTTTCTGTGTGGTTCAAAGTTAAGGCACTATTTTAAAGCCTGATGACATCATTTACATTCTCCTTAGGCGGATGTTCCCCAGCTACAAAGTTAAAGTCACAGGAATGAACCCAAAAACCAAATACATCCTATTAACTGACATCATTCCGGCTGATGACCATCGGTACAAGTTCTGTGACAACAAGTGGTGAGTTAACGTCCATCTTTAATGTTTCTGCAGAAGACGACTGTCATGTTTGATTCTGTTTTTATCTTCTGTTTGCATTCTTAGTCACATGTCCTTTGTTTTCCAGCCACTTTTCTGTTACCATGTCTCCCATCATTAGTTCATCTTCGTCACTTGTGTCTTGTAATCACCTTCTTCTGTGTCACCTGGTTTGGTTAATCAATGTCTGTATTTTGTTCCTTCAGTTCAGTCACTCAGAAGTTTGTCTTATGTTACGTTGTGTTTGCTTCTGCCTGCCTATATCCGTGCAAGATATTTTGTAAAGTTATATTATTTTGGAATCTGGACTCTGCCTTTTCATCTCCCTGCACCACAACCGTGACAACGACATTCCTTCTGTCTCACAACAGCATAATTAGAGTGAACACATTCTAGAAAGTTTAAGGATACTCTAAGCCATTGGACATTCAGCTGTAACACGCAATAGCAAAAGTGACTGGAGTTCGCTTGAGGCATCTGAACAAACACTTATCCAGATTACACTGCAAAGAAACAAAAATGAGTATATTTTATATTCTGCTGTCTCCTCCTATCTATGTTTCTTAATTTGTTGACATGGGTGGACAAATGCCGCAATCCATATCCATAGTACAGATACACAATTTTTAACACTAAAAGGGAATTTTATAGTTATTAATATTAAAATACACTTTTAATATTAATAATAATTATATTATAAGTAATGATTGTCAAAAGTTTAATGATACCTTGTGATATTGAATATAATGGCCTTGTTTCCAACACTTATCTTATAATGATAATTGATCCAATTAAACATGTTTGCAAAGGCCAACACTGAAGGAAACTCAAATTAATTATTTATAAGCAAACAATATGCAGTCTATATCAGTTTATCCATCCAATGCTACTTCTGGCTGTGGATTGTCATTAGCACACAGTTAATAACTGTAGGCCACAGCAGTCTGTCAAAACCAATGGGCTTAAAACAGCTGGGCTATGCATGTTGTCCTCTTTTTGACCCTGCACCTCTGGCAATGCCACTAGATATACACACTATTCACCCATGCAACCATCGGCACCACAAATAAGTCAGATCTGCTTGTATCCAGCATGGAAAAAACCTAAACAAAATAATGATGGCACGCACGTCTCAATGAATTGCATGTTTTGTCACGAGAACGAGCATTTTATGAGCATTTTTCAAAATCTGTGGGATAAACTGGAATTTCACCATTTGCCAGCATTGGCTCTGGAGATCTTCAGCAACACCTTCAAGGCACACAATTAGCAGTGATGTTTTGGTCAAAGCAGCAACCAGCCTTTGGGAAGTATTCCCAAAATGTTTTGGACCTAACCTCTCATGCTCTGATTATTAATGCGCAGATGTTCTGCATAAAGCCTTTCTGTAGCCTGCTGCTATATCCTATAGAATTTACGTGACACTGGAAAAAAAAGTTTTCCTTTTAAAAGCGCTATGGCATGATGTCAGAGGTGCTGGAAAGCTATGTAGTACTAAAAGAAACTCTGGGGACTGAGCCTAATTCACCACACCAAACCAACAACTGTAAGCTGTAGGTCTTTTGCAAATGTTGCTGGTGCCTTTTCCGTGTCAAAAAAATTGCTCTTGATCTTCTCCATAGGATGGTGGCAGGAAAAGCAGAGCCTGCCATGCCTGGAAGACTCTACGTCCACCCAGACTCTCCTGCAACAGGGGCCCACTGGATGAGACAGCTGGTCTCCTTCCAAAAGCTGAAGCTCACAAACAACCACCTTGATCCTTTCGGGCATGTGAGTGTCCATATTCAGATATTTGATATTAAAATGTGCAAATTTGCAGTGTGCAAAGAAGAGAGCATTAATTTTTGTTTACAATTAGCGAAAGAGGAAACAGATCTTTTTTTTTTATTGTACATACATGGTTATGGGGAAAAAAGTAGAGCAGGGGCTTGATATGAGTCTGTTCTTTCTTTTGATAGGCTTTATTGCATATTCAGATATTCATACAACAAAATATTATTGAGGTCTTTGTGAAAATGGTAAAAAAAATGGTAAAAACCATAAATCTGTCTGTCTGTCTGTAAGACTTTTTTAAACATTCAAGCAAGGCTGTCAAGCCAACATGTTCAAAATTAAAATTTCCTTGTGAAAAATTAAACTTACACAATTTCAGTTTGTGAACTTACTTCAAATTAAATTTGACTTTCAAGGTATGAATACACTTCATGTGAGAGCTATGGTATGGGTCATCTTGAGAATCTCCTACTTTCTATAGAGAAGAGAAACAGTGGAGCAGAGGTGAGGAGTCTGACCATGGCAGCACTGCCCAAAGGAGCCTGTGGACCTAGCTTGTCTGATGCAATAACATCAGAAACAAGCTCATTAGGTTCATAACCTGTCAGAATGACACAAAGTTGGCCTGTCAGGATTAGTTGAATGCCTAGGAAGTGATAAGGGCGAGTAATGAGCAGGGAAAGAGGTTGTTAAGCTCTACTGACGCCCACAACAGCAGGGACACCACGGCTGGCTGAGAGCCCCAACACAGGCCGCCACTGTAGCCATAGTGCACCAACACAAGCCACAGTCAAAACATACACTAAAGCTTAATACATATATATTGCAATTTTGCTCATCAATATTTTGTAATGTTATGACTAACAATCAATACATGGCAGATATAAGTTTTTGGTCACACTTCAGATCAGGGTCCAATTCTCACTATTATGAATTTTGCCTCAACTTCCTAATTACTGCTTATAATAGTTAAACAGCCAATATCCTAGTAATATCCATGCTAATAAACAACTAGTTAAGAGTGAGAATTGCACCCTAAACTTAAGTGTTACCCTTTAAAAAAATAAAATATATGTATATATATATATATATATATATATATATATATATGTTATCACGTCACTTTGTAGGCCAACATGCGGAAGTGAGTTAGCATTTTAACACTCCCGGTTCCCTCACTCTAAAGTCTATGGGATTTGTGAATCGGTTTTTGCTAAATCGGCTGAAATAAGGTCTGTGGTGAACAAAGCCTCTAAATATTTTCACGTATTGATCTATGACATAAAACATAGGGTGGGGGGGATTTGAAATATTTTTATTCATAAAAATAAATCATAAGAACATGCACTTCATTATTACAGGAATTGTAAAATATTTTTTCTTATTAAGTAGCCTAACGCAATCTAATAGCTTATCTTTCCCTACACATACGAACTGTGATCATGCACAATGAAAAAACATCCTATTAATAAATAAAGGAAATAAATGGTAAATGGTAAATGGACTGCATTTATATAGCGCCTTCATAGACCTAATGGCCACCAAAGCTTTACATTTGCCTCACATTCACCCATTCACACACTCATTCACACACCGACGGCCTAAATAAATCAGCCTCTGCTGATCACGGATTGATTGCAAAGTTAAACCATCACAGTGAAATTATCTGTGGAGTCAAGTCGCCTCATTTGCGCCTCTATCGCGCTAAACGCCTCAATCGCGCCGCAGGACATCTAGAAGCACGTAAATGCTTCTTTACTTTTGAAAACACTCGTGCCAGGAGCTCAAGAGTGAGAAAACTTTGCTGAAGTGATGACGTCACTTTGTAGGACAACTCGGAAGTTAGAACGCATGGGTTCCCTCGATCGAAAAGCTATGCATTTTCCCCAGACTTTTGGAAAATCGACAGAAAATCAACAAAGAGTTGTGACCCTTACACGTTTTGTCTATCAAGATAATCTTTACAAGTTAATCTAAAATTTATGCATTTTGAAGCCTATATAAAGTAAAAAAAAAAAACAACACAAGCAGACACAATACATTTTTAAAAAACGACAAGCAGGTTATAACTGGTGTGTTTTATGTCATAGATCAATACGTGAAAATATTTAGAGGCTTTGTTCACCACAGACCTTATTTCAGGCGATTTAGCAAAAACCGATTCAAAAATCCCATAGACTTTAGAGTGAGGGAACCGGGAGTGCTAAAATGCTAAATCACTTCCGCATTTTGGCCTACAAAGTGACGTGATAAATTCGGCACTCTATAGATTCAGTGCAACACTGTATGTGTAACTTCGGCCATTCTCAGTGGTGTGACTGGGACACTAACTCTGCTTGTCATCATAGAAACAGATAATCAGATTGTGATGTTTATTTCCCGCTTCAGTAATATGTTTGTGAGGGGCAGAGTTGGATCCAGATCTAAGGGGTGGAGATGGGTAGGATTAGGGGTGGGGTTCGGGATCAGGGGGTGGAGATAAGTAGGTTTAGGTATATGTAAGGTGGGAGGAGTTGGATCTGGATTTTTATGTTCTGCAGTGAGGACCTTCTCCTTTCTAGCATGCATATATATAGTTTATAAACAGTTCTTAGCTTTCGGCAATATTATTGATTTGACTGCACTGACACTATTGGGCGAGAACTGAACTGAGCTGGATAATGATATCACTCTTTTCTGCAGAGCTGCTTTATATTGTATTTGAATTAATTTCATAATTTACCAATATTAGTTATTGAACCAACACTGAATTCTGTTTTCATCACTGATCATTATTTTCCTGTTTTTCACTGTAATTCTAGATACGATCTGCATTAAAGCATTATATAAAGTTGCCTTGACTTCGTTGTTTTTCAAAAGTATGGGGTAAGATTAAAAATATAGTTTTGATATGTTTATATTATATGTAAATGTAGATTTATAATGTCACAAAAGGTGTACATTAAAAAAAAGCCTTTTCTAATAGTCAGTGAATTCTGAAAAATTATCAGGTTTCCACAAAAATATTAAGCAGCAAAATTTGTTTTCAAAATTGATAATATAATTTTGTGATAACTTTCCTCCAGATTTCTGAAGGATCATGTGCCACTGAAGGCTGTAGTACTTCAGCTTTGCCATGACAGGAATAAATGATAAATTAATTATACTTTCCAAATATATTGAAATAGAAAACAGTTCTTTTCACTACCTGACCAAATTGAAATTCTTCTCTTTTAGTGTACTCAACTTTATAACTACTTTTAAATTGTGATTTATTTATGTCTTCACTTCACCAAGCTTTGATTTCTTTTGCTACACCACTGACCGCACAGACACCCAACACCCACAGATATTTATAAGCAACTTGCTGTGGACTGAACGCACAGGAATTTTTTCGATGCAAGGTCATCTAGCTGTAAGGTCACATGACACACTCCCCCAAAATAGAGCTTACATTAAGAGAAAACGGAGATGAAAGGTAGCCTCAGAGTCTGCATTGATCTGACAAAGGTGCTTGATTAATATACTTGGACAGCACACATCCCTATATCTGAATCATCAATGCAGTTTGCATCACATGGTATTACCTCAAGACGCCAGCCAGCCAACCAGGCAAAGGTCACATGCGTCTGCACTCACCAAATGAAGCGCACAAACCATTCATTTGGCTGAGGCTACCGTCTGTGTCTGTGATGGGGGGGATTGACCTGGGGTTGCCCTCTGTTCTCTAGTGCTCCTAACTCCTCTTCGAAAAGTGCAGCAACGAGAAGCTGCCTCGCTCTCTGTCTGAGAGTCGACATAACAAAGGGAAAGGCCCTGATGCTCATTGGCCCTGACAGATCTGTGTTGGGGATGACCCTAACTAAACGCTTCACTGAACACCAGACACATGGACACACTGAGCAGACTGGTGCCGCTAGAACACTATGATCAAACACACATACACAAAGGATCTTGCAGTTCTTTTGACATATCTATTGATGCCGTCTCATTAACATATACTGTACACCAACAGCTTCATTAGTGGTCAATGTACAGTTTATACATTTGGATATTTTCTGAAATATTGATCAGATCATTCATACAGGTTTTTATACATGCACAGCTTTAGAAATGTAGACAACAATGAATATATAAATATAATATTGCCATATATAAAAACAAGAATTTTAGACATTTTAGAATGATTTTTAGATACTTTTTTTTTTGTATTGATTTGATCAAATAATGCAGCAGCAGCCTGGGTGAGCATAGAACATTTTTTTCTAAAACATTAAAAAAATACTACAACCCAAAACTTTTAAATGTAAACTTTTGCCTAAATGAAATAATATAATATAAATATTAAATAAAATATTATATTACGGAGACTTCAGATGCCCCAACACCTGCGATGTTCAGAGACGACTCAACGCTGGTGATATGTAATGCCCTAAATTAATACATGATTAACTAACTGTATTTTTCTATGTCTGAAATGCACTTTATGTAAATGTAAATTCAATTAAATTCAAATTTAAATCACATATATTTGTATAGCTATATTTTGATGTTTTATAGAGCTCAATAAATCAAATTCAACCTATTAATTCAATATTCTGTCAACATAAGGTTTCGTTAAGATTTGTACGTCTCCAAATTGTTCACACATAAAGTGCTGTCAGTCTGTTAATAATGTAAATTTCAAATGTATGAAATGCGCTTGAACCAAACTTAACATGCAAATACATATGATTACTGATGAGATTATTACATTTTCATGTGCAAAATAATGGAAAATGTCTCTTTCTCAATCTATCCTAATGTAGGCTTGCATTTCTGTTCACAGATCATCTTGAACTCAATGCACAAATACCAGCCCAGGTTACACATTGTGAAAGCTGATGAAAACAATGCCTTTGGATCTAAGAACACAGCCTACTGTACTCATGTCTTCCATGAGACAGCCTTCATCTCCGTTACATCCTATCAGAACCATAAGGTACCATTAGAACCTGTCTCACAATCACATGCAGTTATTTGTACATTGTCCTACAATTGCTAACTTGTTTGTTTCTTCATAGATCACCCAGTTAAAAATTGAGAACAATCCTTTTGCCAAAGGTTTCCGAGGCAGTGACGAGGGCGATTTGCGTGTGTCCAGACTTCAAGGGTAAGATTATATAATGTACCATGCATAATGCTGCATAATGTACCAAAGATTGTAGTCTTACTGATCAAGTGCCCATTTTCCTAGGAAAGATTACCCTGTGATTTCTAAGAACATGGTCCGGCAGCGGCTTATCTCATCACATGGTCACCTGTCAGGAAAACTGGGGACAGGTGTGCTGAGTAGCCACTCACAGGTGGTTTCTCACTATCAGTATGACAGTGGCGTCCCCCTGCCGAATTCTGATTCCCAGGAAGCTCTCTCTCACCCCTTCCCATCTAGCAGAGAATCCAGCCTTCTTTACCACTGCTTTAAGCACAGAGGTATAGCGCTGTGGCAACCAGCTTATTTACCAGACTTGTTAATCCTGACTCAGAACACACAATATTGGTATTATATCGGTTATTGGTCTATAGATATCAGCCTTTTTTATATAATCCATATCAGCTATGCTCATTTCCTGTATTGTTTACAGTTAGACTGCCTGTGCAGTCATCTAACGTTCACTAAAAGTTTACATTTAATCATATTTTAATAACACTGAAATGAAAAATTGCTGAGCTGTTTTAACCCAACTTTGGGTCAAATATGGACAAACCCAGCCATTGGGTTACATTTTTTATTACATTTTTAACCCAACGTTTGGGTTTGTCCATATTTGACCCAAAGTTGGGTTAAAACAACCCAGCATTTTTAGAGTGATATGATGCATAAATTTACTAGCATTTAAAATGATTCACACCAATAATTTTATAAGCTGCAATTGAATTTAGGCATCATAAATCAAAATGTTGCTGTATTTAAATGCATAGCATAACATAGCATAGCATAGCATAACATAGCATAGCGTAACATAACGAGACAGATTTAAAGTGCAGTTTTCAAAATCCATTGCATTTTCAAACCTTGTGGATTCATACATGATATTTTATTCTAGATAACGCAAGGCATTTGGACCTGGGATGCAAACGACCCTATCTTGACACAACAGCCTCTGCGGTTTCTGAGGAGCACTACTTCCGCTCCCCTCCTTCGTACGATCCACCTCTGCTGTCCCATCCATACTGCAGCGAGGCTTTAGGTTCTAGAGAGGCATGCATGTATGGAGGAATGGAGGGAGAGGCAGGGGGCGCAGTGGGTACCGATGACCTCCCTGCCCCGTCACTGAACTGCAATATGTGGGCGTCAGTGCAGCCGTATCCTCGCTACGGCATGCAAACTGTGGAGTCTGTGCAATACCAGCCCTTCACAGCACACTTCAACAGCACAGCCTCCGCGGTTCCCCACCACTCATCGTCCATGCAGCGTCCACATCCAGCACCTCCAGACCTAGTCACGTTTACCACACAGCGGGTGTTGCCACCGACGGCATCTTCAGCATCCTCCTCCCCCTCCGACCCCACCCCCCGTGACAGAGCACATTCCTCGCTTTTTCATAGGAAGCCTGGGTCGCCATTACGTTCACAAAGGGATTTCACAGGCTATCCGAACCATAGCCCTACTTCAACCCGAGAATCAGCCTATCAGTTCCAAACAGGGCTGAGCAGTGTTGGGCCTCACTGGACAGACAGTTAAACGGCCACCGTCCACAACTATATTCCTCTGCAGCTTAGAGAAACAAACTCTCTGTGAACAACAGCTGCAATGAGATTATTTTTACAGCCATGATGCTAAATTGTAAAGCAAAGCCATAAATCTATTTACCCTCATAGTATAGGAAGCCCACAGTTTGTGGCACTGTATATTTATTTGAATTTGAGATATGATCAGAGTTGTTGTTCATGCGCAGGTGGTGAAGCCAAGCACAAACAGCCAACTTAATGCACTAGTGTTGGCATTAAAGGGATAGTTAATCTAAAAATGAAAACGTCATTCCAAAGCTGTTCTTCGGTGAAAAAACTTTTTTTTTTTAATGGGTCAGCTGTGTTTGTAGCGAATGTCAATGGGTGTTTAATGCAACATTGGATCCCACTGACTTGAAAAGAGATTATTTTTCAAAATTCATACAATTTTGGAATGACATGAGGCATGAATATGACATTTAATTTTTTGGTGAACTGTCCCTTTAAGAGGAACCTTATCAGGGCTTAATTTTTGTATATAGCACAACATGTGCCAGCTGCATTTTGCTACACTTGGGAGACTTTATGTATTGAGTGCAAAAAAGTCAGTGGATTATACCGAGAAGTTTATTTGTTAGTTAACCTAAACATACTTAGTTAATGAGGCTGCTTTTTTCCCTCTTAAAATGTTAAGAGTGTGCAAAACATGTGCCAAGTCCAAAGATTGGTTATTTACTGGGTGTTATTAAGAGATCCTCATTATTTCCTAATAATGCAATAAAGTTTTAAACAAAAAAGTTTTTTTTTTATTATACATATATATCTTTATAAATGTATCTGGAATTGCTAATGTACTGATGCTATGCAATTGCTACTATTTCTTTGTAATGCCATCACAACAATGAAACTATTAAATATTAAAACACCTCTTCCATAATCAAATGATAGAAAATGATATTTGTGGTAACAAAAACAAATACAGATCAGACCTACAGCTCAAAATAAAGCTCACTGAGAAAATACCCATGAAATCTTTATCTTAGTGGTCTTGGATTGGCTCCTATACTTATACTCCATTTTAGTTGGACTATCTGGATTGTAGGGCCTGTTGAACAATATGTGCTACAAGTTAAGTATTTGAGTTATGAGTTTGGCACCAATCATTGTCTGAATTTGTTTGATTAGTTCAATGCAACATCAGAAAAGCTCATTGCAACCAGATGGAAGCCTAAAAATGATCATTAAGAAAAGAATAGAGAACAGTTTATGCTAGGTTGGAAAATCCTTAAGAGGTCGACGATGTAAACCAGCCTCCGTGGGCAGGCACCCACAAGTCAAATTAAAAAAGGATGGGGTATCACTGGTAAGCACTGTGATTCTAATGAAGAAAAGCAGGATGTGGTAAGGGAACATATAGTGGTGATTTTACTCGAACTGTCATTTAAGTTGACAAATCTGACAAAAAGAGACAGTTCATTTACTATGTAACAAATTTTCTCCATAGTTATTTCTGTTGTTTGCACGTTAAATAAACTGTACCTTTTTAGAGATTACATTATGTAACATTGTTTCCAAGACCTCCAGTTTGAACAGACCATGAAACCAAATTGGCCTATATATTGGTTAATTAACATAACTAACAACATGTAAATAATGATCTACAGACAACACTCAAATTTCAACTTACCCGCTTGTTAGGTAGTAAAATTCCAGCTGTTTTTGGAACTGTGGGTTGATTTTTAGTTGTATTAAGGGGTTTGCCTTGTCAAGCAGTTAAAAAAAAATATTTTTTTTTAACAGATTACTTACAAAATAATAAATGATTATTTTAATAAATCAGTTATCAGCCATAAGGTCAAATCAGTTTTTTTTTATAACAATGCATCAATAAATATGCTATGCTACACTGAATGTACACCATATAGGCTATCATGTTTTCAGATTAAAAACTTAAGGATTTCTTTAGTCACATTGAATAAGAGTGTCTGCTAAACTATGTTTTCATCTATGATTCATTCATAAACAGAAGTGCTAGAAGATGCGATTTGCTTACTTTATTTAACAAGTAAAATTCAGTTGATTTGTATAAAGCAGTTTTTTAGAACATAAGAGAAAACAGTCATACAAAATATTACTTTCTTGTGCTAAAAATAAAAGGGATATTAAAAGACAATAGAGAAATGCACCAGATTCCTCTGAATGGGTCCCAGGTTATTGATTGTAGAGAAGAACTCAACTGCTGATGAAACCAAGCAGATCTAAGGCAAGGGAGGAAATGAGACCATGATTCTGGGTCTTTGAAATGCTCCAAAAACATTTTGATTTACATGAGTGATACACAATCCAAGAAAGAATCCCATAAAGTGCCAATAACATACAATGGGATACATGAGCATGAAGTAAATTATATTATACATAACTTCAATGGTTTGCAGTTCTGTTTTTGACTGGGTTCAAGTACAGGAAGTGTCATTTGGTATTTTAATATGCTCTAAAAAAAACTGAAAAACTCTCCCTAACCAAATCCCATCTGATAAATCTAGGATCACTTAAAAAGAGCCCTCATTGTCATCTGATCAAAACTTAGCTTTTTTTTTATCAATCTTTGGTAGCACATAAAAAGAGAAACTGGACCTATAAGATTCGTGCGATTTAACTTTCCGCATATAAAGCCGTCTATCTCCATTAAAATAGAGCCAGGTTTAAGCCTCACAGAGCTTGTAGCTCCAGCTCCAGCTTGTAGTATCTATCTAAGTTGGAACTGAGGGGCATCTGGAACTCATTGGAGGAGATCTCCTTTGCCCTCCACTTGCAGCTTCCCACTGTCGTCCCTAAATCCCGTCTGAGAGCCGCCTTGGCAAGGCAACTCTCTGACCCAGCAGCTTAAGTCACTCCTCCTTGTAAAACTTTGGAATCGGCTCTTCGAAAGAGCACTCAGAAGCACACTTTAAGTACTTTGAGAAGATTTAATATCAAGTCCATTATGGCCTTACTGGAGCCCAGTAAATAGTCAATTAGTGGATAATTCTGATTCGATCCACATGCCGCCAGATCCGCTGGGGCGACCGGACAGCTTTGCATTCAGTGGGCCCCGCCAACACTCTCGGGATGAAAAAAGGGCGCGACTGAAATGGGAGGGGCACCACATGGAGCCCTTTTTGTGCAAACCTGCCCCTTGCAGCAGGCATTACTGCTGTCAAGTCTAATGCAAAGTTGCTTTTTGCACTTTCAGTGACTTTGGAATAAAAAAGAAATCATAATCCCTCAAGCTGGAGTTGTTTGTGGTCTTCCTGCATTGGAATGGAGGGGGGTTGACTGATCTTACACAAGAGGGTGGGCTTCAGGAGGAGGGCCAAATTGGGAGATTCAGCGGTCCAACTCAAGGCGGCATCCATTGATCAAAAGGTACATCTGGTCGACTCCAATAAAACATAAACCCAACTGTAGAAAATTGGGGTCCGACATTACAGAGTGGCTTTGGATAAAAGGTCCAATAAAAATGTATAATTGTATTATATACATACAGCGGATTAGAGTTTTCTAAAGAAATGGTGGATGGATTAATCTTTTATCCATCGGATTAAATGGAGGCCCGTGAGCATGATATATAGTGTGCCGTGATGGCAGAAGAACACAGACAACAAGCAAGCTCAAATTAGGAGCTAATTTTTTATAAAAGGCTGTTTAACCAATTATAGCAGTGTTTCGCAAAGTGAAAAATGTTGATCTCTATCCAAATACATACTTCACTGAAAAACATAAATACATAAAAAAACATTAATGAAAATAGGATACAAAAAAAAAAAAAAGATACAAATTTGAGGACTTCACATAGACTTCACATTAGCTCATTGTTGCATCACATTTGTCTAATGGTTTAGCATGTGAGCCTGTGCATGTGTGGTAAAGAAAAGAGCGAGTTCTGGATGCTGAATTAGTGTTTGAGAGAGTGATATACTTTCGTGCACTTCAATACTCCACCTCTTCATTCTCAACAGAGTTTTTGTTGGGTCTAGACAACCAATCAGCTGTTAATACGCCAAGGGCTGCCCCTTTCACAAGCCCCCAATCTTAACACAGCATCCTAGAGTGTGTGCACAAGAACAAGAGGGAATGAAGGAAGTGTTGCACGGAATAAACCAACCAGCGAGAGGGTTTTTGCAGCATACACATGATCTATCAAGCGTCCAATCAATGATTAAAGTAACAGAGTCCCTTTACCTCTGTATTTTATCTGCAGTAGAGCAACTCTACATGTCAAAGGAAAGAGATCACATTTTGCAGTCATATGACAATTAGCAGTGTTTTTTTTTTTTTTTGAAGAACAAGGTGTAGCATTTAGTCTTGAGGGGATCTCCTTGAGTACATGGTATCTTAGTGATGATATTGAGTTTACAACAGAGGATTCCTTCCTTCCACAAGTCTTTGACTCCCACATCAGCACTCCTTTAAAGGCATTAGTCATTTAAGGAAGTGGAAAACCAATTTGTTTAAGCTTGAGGCACTGTTTATGCTTACATCACCAGTTCTGTTACTACAGCACATATTCAGTTTATTTGACCAAAATAACAAATGAATGAAGTTAAGACTTGACAGAAAAGACTCAACGGGGGCTGTCTACTCTAGAGTGAATAGTCCTTTGCTTTAATGAATAGGGACAGGTCTATTCAAATAGACAAGGTATTGTGTATAAGGAGGGGAGAATGGCTGCCAGTTTTCAACCATCTAGAGTGCCAATCCCCTCTACTGGCTGAACACTGTTATTGCAGAACCATGGAGGTTTAGAGAAATGAGATTGTAAAATCATAATGTAATTCCTGTTTCTGTGGCTAACATTCTTTAAAAGTTATTGGCTTTCTATAATAAACAAAACAATGAACAGGATTTTCAGTGCAAATGTAAAGTTTTAATGAATACTTCACCCAAAATTGAATATTCTATCATCATTTACTCACCCTCATGTCGTTCAATCCGAAATACAAAAAAAAAAAAAAAAAAAGAGAAAAAAAAATCAATTGTATGACACAAAAGTTTCATACAATTAAAAGTCAGTGGAATCCAACGTTGTCCCACTGACTTCCATTGTATTGGTTCGGAACAACATGACGGTGAGTAAATAATGACAGAACCGGCGGACTGTGTCTTCCAGAATCATCTTTGTCACTTTAATGGAGTTCCCAGGAAAGTCTGGTAATCCCATACACTGTGAGGGAAGATTTGGGATTAGCCTGGAAAAAGCAACTGCAAAGCCTCAGGCTAATTCATTTGTCCTTTTTAAAACCCAATTGAGATTCTCTGCCTCGCGGTTGATGCCTGCGCACAGATCAAGTGTTTAGTTTGACAAATACAGCTTACAGAATATCAGGCCACCAGTGACTGACAGAGCAGACAGAGGGGATAAGACCATCGAAATGTGATTACCTGGCTAAAGGAGGAGGAGCACAATACAAACTTGTTTGTCATTTTACACGCTTTGTCAAGCAAAGCCTGTAATGCTAATTAGCCAGATACACCGGGCAAATAAAAATAAAACTAAAGCAGATTGGATTTGTGAGTCATCTGCCACGTCCACCTGTGGGCTTACTGGAAAACTCACAGGTTCAGGATATTACCATCCTCAATCAGTTTTATCACCAAATCTAACTCATAAAAGGAACAAGGACTATGTTCTGGAATCTAAGTAGATGTAAAGTGCAAATAAAAATATCCATATAAACCATTATGGAAGAAAAAGCAAACATACAGTACACTAAACTAGCAAATATTTTGCAGATAAACAATTTTAGCACAAAATTGCATTCTAACATTGTTTTGCAGACAACAGAGCGAGTGGATGTCTCAATATCACAAAATTGATGAAAAAAAATCAATCAAAATTTAAATTTGCCAAAGGACAAATGGACTTTCCAGGGACCACTAGCCAAAACTGATGCCAACTTGCGGCGCTGTAAGTGCCCTAAGTCCAAGATGGAAGGCAAACTAAAGGATTAATGTCCTCAGTTAAGGCTCAAAGAGTCTTTACAGGTGATTTGAAGCTCATCCTTGCTGGCTTACGTAAAGCTGTTCTGAGCTGATATGGCAACTTGGTCAGGACAGGTGTTTACTGCTTCATGCTGACAAGATGAACTAAAAAGTGGGTCTGTGGAGTGGCTAAAATGACACGCTCTAAAGGTCACAGGAAAGAATATTTTCTCATATGATAAAAACGAATGGAAGTGAAGCTAACAAAGTAAAGTTTAAGCATTAATATTTACCCAATATTAACTTATTTCTCAAAGCCAGTGGTTTCTAAACATTCATAAACATCGATGTTCAACATCAAACCTGAATCTCAGCTGGGGGTTTTCTGTTCAGTCTTATAGAGGTGACCTTTTGTGCCCTCAATTTAGTTTTGACTCCCTTATAGAGGTAAAGATTACAAATACAGGAATTCAGAGGATGAGGGAAGCACACTATATTACAGCTGCATCAATGTTTCTACCTTTGACGAAGAGCCAAGCAAAATAGATAAAATGGCAATTCACAGAAACGTCTGCATTCAGACTCGGAATGAAGGGTGATGCACCTTTTCCTTGTCATGCTTGGACACCACTGAAACACTGGAGGAATGGTGGGTATGCGAAGAACGCATGAAAAGTCACAAGATTAGTGTCAGGTCATGCTGCCGTTGTCATGATCAGT